AGGCTAAAACCATTGGGATTATCACTGATTCCTTTCTTCCTCTTGCATTCACACACTAAAATGTTAGCTGTTGTCTCTGCTTTCAATATATACTCGGAATCTAAGCATGTCTCGAAACGTCTAGTGCCACCACTCTAGCCCATGCCACCGTCTGATCTTCCCTGCCCTTCACAGTCTTCTCTTCTTACAGAAGCCAACGAGTTTTAAAGGTGGCATGTCTGGGCCAAAAGCAATCCTTGGAATGCAGGCAGGCCTGTGAGCAATTAGAAAATAAACCTTTCTCTAGGAGACTGCAGGTCTTAAGGAGAATACAGCCCTCTGCTGGACTCCCTTGGATTCTTAGCAGCTCTGCTGGGCTCAGAAGCCACCAGTGGCAACCATGTCAGCCAGGGTACAGGCTGCAGCCGTCACCACCATCTAGAATGCCTTCCAGCACCGGTCCTTGCTGCTTCTCCACCCTCCTCTGAATATTCTTCCCTTTGCTTACTGGGCTTGGGCTACAGTGGTGACCTTGCTGTTCCCTGAACACACGAATCACGGTCTCATAGGGCCCCTGACTCACAGCTTCCTTTGCCTGGAACACACTCCCCCAGACATATGCATGGCTCTGCTCCTTTACTTCCTCCAGGTGCCTGCTCAGATGTCTGTGGTTAGAAACCTCCTCCCAGGTACTCACCGTCCTGTTATCCTTTTCTTCCCCCTCCTTCGTATTTCCCTGATGTTTATTAGTTCTATGGTCTGTAGGTTATGCTTCTCACATGATTCTCAATAAACATTTGTTGAGTTAATGCTCTGTTAATTCACTGAAAGGCTTCGATAAAAAGGAATGGCGTATCTCCAAGTTCTGCCTCCCTCCACACCCTCTTACAGGGAAGATAGGGGGTGGAGCTTCTGGGATGACCAGGATAATAGGCGCCCAAACATTTGGAATCAGTGTGGCTGCGGCAATAAGACCTCTGCTCTCCATCCCACCCCAAAAGTGTTCCCCTCTGGGCAGGACTCTGGAAAATAGGAATCCCAGGGAACCTTTTAGTTCAGAGGGGAATAAGGGATCCTTGTGACCCAACGGTGATCCAGGTCTGCTTATTAAAGCCTAATTTGAGGTTTGGGGACAAAAGCTTAAAGCTAGTAATAAAGTGCTCCTCTGACTGCCTTTGTCCTGTGTGACTAG